GAGTCAAAAGTGCTATAAAATTGCTTATACTCATTACAATGTTACTTAAAATGTTCTAATTGCAGAAGTTAAAAACGAACTTTTTGTCACTATTCATGTGACAAGTATTTTACATATTTTCAGACCATGACCTTTAACACTTTAAACATAAAATGGATCCTGGTAATGATGCTGCACACAATGACAACAACAAAACTGTTAAAATATTCAAGGGAAAATAAATGTAACGGCAGATGTGGAAAATCTTGCATTATATGACAAGTCATCATGATGTTCCAAAAAAGGACCAGAAGTCAGAGCAAACCACCTTCTATATCAAGACTACACAGCGCCACCATGTGTTCAACTACAGCAGTGCAAAAGCCAATTTCCCTGAAAGAGCTGGATTTGAGCATATTAAATCATGCTAATGCCAGACTGTGGTTGTTAAAAACAATGTAAAAAAAAATCTAATCTCACAATTTTTACTAAATTACTGCCTTTGAACAAATGTTTTACAAAGCTTTAAGAACAGGTGAAAATCTCCTCTTGAGCTTCCTGAGGGAGGTTTCAGGCCACAAAGGCAAATATACTTGAAACCGCTTATTTTTAAGCATAAAAAAACACCTTTATGTATGTATATTTTAGAAAAAGTATATAGGTCCTGAATACTGCATAGACTCCAGTACTATTGTTTTGATTAATCACCCAAGAGAGACAATGTTACACATTACCAGGCTGACATGAGCAGGCATGGGGAACGAGGAGCTTAGCCCATTCTATGTCAAGCCTGATGAGACCAGGAAAAGAATGAAATTCTCCACACAGGAACACTGTCTTCGTGCCATCAGTTTGTTGGAGGCTGACACATCAGCTGTGCTTTTAGCAACGAACCAAGGGTGCATATAGACAGTGTTACACAGATGCACTAATTGCTGTGCACAACAGTCCAATTGTTAAAGAGATCGAGGTCTTGGATTCTGTGGGCACACCCACAACTACCCCAGGATTTCCTGTCTATAATCCCCATTGATGCACAATGTTCATCTGCATAATACATTTACTTGTAATGTCTTTTCAATAAAATCCTTGCACTTTTTTACAAAAAAAAAAGATCTGGAAAATTTCAATAATACTTCAGTGAATTGCTGCAGTTGTGTGTGCCAGCAAAGTTTTTTTCACTCAGTATAAATTCTTGCACTGACAGGAAGGGAGACCTGCTAGCAATTGTAAGGGGGTTTGGGATATTCCACTTTACTGGTTTCAGTTACATCTTAAAACAGAGGTACTTGTTGAAAGCTTGTTTCAAGATTTGATTCCCTGCCTTTAGATAAGTTTTTAATCTACATGTTCTTTTCAATATCACTCACCGATAACCTCTTTGATAGCTCTAAGATCATGGTTATCATGTCATAAAGCAAAGCACAGCTCTGACAGTCAGAATCAGTACCAATAGGTCTTGGAGCTCCAGCTGAGTAATTAAGTGATATCAATCGACAGGCACATCAGTCTGGTAAAAACTAGTAAAAGAAATCAGCACTACTTCCGACATGGTGCAATTTATTTCAATGTCTTTCTGATAGAAAAGTAACTCACTAGGAAGGGAACAAATCAAGATCTAACTCTATTAGTTGTCTTTGTGTACTTCTACTTTACATATAGGTTCCAGTACAGAATAAGGCACCTTTTGGAAACACATTGTGCCAGAACATTTCTCAAAGCTTGCATTACTATAGAATAAAGTATCCCTGACTTGCAGGTAATACACCTTTTCTACCCAGAGCAACAGCTGTGGAGCTAGTGCCAGCCTGTCAGTGTGCTGTTCCTTCTCAATGGGGTTTGCACTGGCCTCCAAAACTAGTATTATGAGCAAAGTAACCCGGATTCATGTCAGCTCAGCCACAGGATAAATGAGTTTAGCATTTACCAGGGCAGGATTTCATAGTAGTGTTGCTATTTTTGCATTTGTTTTGTGGTTCAAATCACATACCAGCTAAATAGAAACATTAACTATATACCTTTATTATAAAAGACAAAAACAGTGTTAAACTGAAGACAATACTGTCTGTTTGAAATGGCTGGAGGAAATTTTTATGTAAGAAATAAGCATTGCAGGAATTATACACCTACATACAAAATATTAAATTCATTAATACTTTATATGTAAAGTTTTAAAATAATGAAGCTGTCAGCAAGTACCAAGTACTACTTATGGATTGGATATGCTGTGAAGGTGCAACACATTCAATTAAATATACTGGAGAGAGATGCAGCAAGTTTGGAAACCCAGATTGTGCATGCATATTGTAGACATAAAAATCATACATTTCAATATACCTTCAGATCTGTATGCCAGTATACATAACTTTTAAAAAAAAACCTTAACAGGGGCAAGCATGGCATGCAGACAACCTTTCAGTATTGAATGAGGACATCCTCCTAGATAATGCAATACAATTTGTCTACAGTACATTGGCACTCATAGCCCTGTCTACATCAGGCTCTGCACGATGCCCAGTTATAAGCAATTGCTTGTGTCTTTTTACTCACGTGGTGTTATGCATTAAGATGCAGGACGTGTGTCAAGATGCACATTTTAATGTTTTCCTGTTCTACAAAGTAATAACATTTGGGCATAAAAGATCTACATTACAGTATAGGCATCAGTGGCAATTGCGTTTTGAACTTTTCAGGTTTTTACTCAAAATAACCTGTCAACCAACATACATAAGGTAACACTTGGCACAACATGTGCAAAGCATAAGAAGAGTGTTTGTTCTTTTCTTCCTTGAAAAATGTTAGTCACGAGTGACCCAATGAACTTATACTTATTTCTTTAAAATAATGTTGTAGAATAAAAGGTAGGTATTTCAGTGGTTAAAAAAAAAATCCCGGTGAAGCCACCTCAAAAAGTCCAAGAGCACACTGTAAGAAAACAGTGAAACATGCTGCACACATTACCAAATCTTTTTCAGACTGTAATCAAACAGACTCCTGCACCAACCTGGTCTTTGCTCCATTTCATTTTTATTTACCATTACTCAATACAACTCGTCAATCCCAATTATTGCTTAACCAGATACAAAGAACAAGCCATTTGCAATCCAAAATTACTGCTTACAGAAATTGACTGCACATGGCTTTGCATATTGTATATAAGCAATTTAAATCAACACTCTCCAGCCCTTTCAACATTAACCTTTCCTGAAATTCCTGAGTACACAAGAAACATCCACCTATCTGTTATCAGACTGCAAGATCTCAAAGGTCCTATCTGGGCAGCGCAGAGGACAAGGCAGAATTATATCCCACAGGATGCCAGTGCTTGCAGGACACACAAGCACACGGGGACAATTCACTTGATCCTCCAAACTTAGCAAGCATGTCTTTGGGATGCGAGAGGAGACCAGAGAACCCAGACCAACACAAACATGGGGAAAACGCACAAACTCCACACAGAAGACACCCTGACCAGAATTCAGGCTACAACCCAACCCAAGCTGTGAGGCACAGTGCCGACTTCCAAACCATCATGCCACCTCACATCACAAATATACACTACAGAAACAATCGGGACTCATCTTCAGGGGGAAACTTGCAAGAATTAGAAATCTCATCTGATCATTATTTTGAAAGCATCACACCACAACTTCTAAAGATGTTCCAGCTGATCATAATAACATTCTTACCAATATCAAAGAAAATCTATATCGGATATGGAGTCCTGCAAATACAGTGCCTGAAACATTGTCAATCTGGTACCTGACACTGAATTAAGTAACAAAAACCCATTGGTCTATAAAGCTGCTTATAGAGGTCTAAGGGGACCAGGAAATTAAAAGGTCTTAACTGAATCCTTGGTCACACAATCAATCATTTAAGCTTTGATTAAACAATTTAAACAATAATTTAAAAAAATGGGTATTTGGAACAATCTACCGAGCCACACTGTAGAGGCTGATTCATTAGTCTGTACCCACATTACAGTTAAATCTGACCTTAAACTTTTGTGACTCACACTTGATCTTGGAAAATGCACCAACGCATCCAAGAAACACCAAGACCGCGGACTTCACCAGGGACACCATGTTAACCTTAATGGCCTTCATAAGCAGGTTGAGAACCCAGACCTGAATGCAATTCCCTTCACCATAATCACGCTGTGCTGGAGCTCTGCTCAGGATCCAAGACTGGAGTCCCCATCCGGTGAGGGGGCAGTGCTGTACTGCTGAATGGGACACAAAGGGACACAATCTCTACCGTTTGTTAGAGGCTACTGAAAAGCGCTTTGAAATGTTCGTGAGATTTTATTTACTGAATGGTTTAAAAAGTTTAAAAGAACAAAGACTGAGGTTTTTAGGGTATCAGCATGTTCAGCTATCATGAAACCCCTCATTAGAGTAGAAGGCTGACAACCACCAGCCTGCCCAGAATGCCTCATTCAGCATTTCCATTGAGGAAACCCACAGGATCTCGTTGACAATGCAGTTGGGCAGGAATGCTTCGTACTACCCCTGTAAATCGCCCTTTTGCATTCAAAAGGATCCCTTCAAGTCTGCAGAAAAAAATTATGACTCTAAAGAAGACTGAAATGGAGAGTGAAAAAAGGCTTAAATATCACTCAGACTGATAAACCACTATTGTTTGGCACAAGATGCGTCCTTCCTCTGCAATTCATTGAACTTCTTTTCAACACTTATACACCACCCTTTACAAAATAAATAAAAACATGTGGACAGTTAGCAATCAGAAGTGTGCAAGTCTTCCCTACAACCAAAAACTGAACAAATTAACAAAAAACATTAATTGTGGCCTACATCCTGTTTTCATACCCTGGATCCAACCACAGCTTTCCAAAAGAAATCGAATATCAGGAGACACGAACAAAATTAAAATTAAAATAAATAATTTGGATTTTTAGAGTAAGGCTCCACAATGATCAAAATGGTTTGCACACGGGATTAAAAAAAACTACTTTACATGAACAATGAAAGGATTAACACCATCTGTAGACTCTCGCCTTCAGATATTCAGTCTTCATCTTCTCCTTTTTTCACAATCACTTCTCAGGCATTCTGGTGCGGTTTACAACAAACTAAAAAGAGGTTCCTGGAAAACAAAACCACAGGCAAAACTAGTGAAAACGGTGATCATGCTTTAACCTGCAAAACCTACATAACCCTAACCTGCATACCTCTAGAATATTTCAGTTTCATTGTTCATGTAAACATCACGTCCTACAAAATTATTTGTATTTTTCCCCCCCAACACCTAAAATAAAATTTTATAATATTACAATTGGCACCAACCTATTTTGTATGTTTTTACAGTTGATAACTATTTACTTCTAAAAATTAAACTGTTAGCAGAAATACTATTAAAAGTATTACTACATTGCTTATGATGAACTACAGAAGTGTTAGGATTCCCAAATTTAGAACTAAATATCAGCTGCTCAGTTCTGGGATCAGTGAAGAACCATCAAAACACTGCAAACACAGCAGTGAAAAGGGTATATCGAGCTTCACCGTATTGTGTCACTTTACATACAATATAGCCCCTGATGCGGGTTACCTCATTAACTAGGACATCAAATAGGGTAATTCTCATCTGAAACTCTTCTGCTGTTGCATTAAACCCACATTTTCGTAGACTCTCGAGCTGTCGTCTCTCATTCTGTAAATGGAAGAAAAACAATGAATGTCTCCAACCCTGATGCAGCTGCAGTGGTTACAAATTGGCTAAAGGTCATTCCATCATGCCCCAAGATCTTCAGAACAAGTTTTCCACAAGCCGTTGAAGGTTGGGGGGGGGGTTGGGGAGGCCACACTACTGCATCACAAAGGCATGCAACAGCTACTACCCGAAGAGAGGGACAGATTCAGTGCACATTGTATGACGAACCAGGAGTCAAGGGAAATTAAATACATTGTGTTATGGAAATCTGTTGGATCAGGAAATAAACAGTCTGCACTGTGCATTTTTCACATACTCATGGATGCCCTTTACACCAGGTTGGCTGTGCTACTTACCCTAGTTTACTCTAATATTATTGTTCTCCAATGAAGCCAAATATTATCCACCGCACTTTCATGACCTGTCTGTTGTTAGTGCAGCCCCTAGTAGCGTGAGCTGCAGTGTGGAGCAGCGTTTAAGGTTTCGCCTTGTAGTTGGAAGGCTGGGGGTTCCTACTATTGCACTGTAAAGCAGGTTTAAGTCAATCCAGCTGCTCTGGTAAGATTCCCAGCTGCACAAATGTAGATCAATGTAAGCCACATGGGATAAAAAGCATCAGTAAATTACTCACTCAGCGCAGGCTGACGTAGGGGTGCAGGGCGGTAGCGGGCTCTGGTCCCCTCCCGTTAGATCGGAGAGTGAATATTTTATATTGGTATACTCCCTGCCTTTTATCTTGCTCTTCTGCAAAGACGAGAAAAAGAAGCATGAGAAAAGATGGTGGCACATACATGGCCATCCTAGCGATGGATAAGGATTTTTAAGTCAATACAACACGTCCCATGTGCTGCTAACATCCCTGTTGCAAAGCACTTTGAGAACATTCCCAACCTCTCATCATCACCTTTGATGGCAATCTACATGCTTTGTGCCGGACAGATGGGGCCCAGATGTAAAAACAGGCATTTCCACCAGCATCTGCCACCCGCTTCCCAGGCATGGCCAGATGGGAACTATGCTATCATCTCAGTAGAGAAGATCGTGAAGTGACGGAAACTGAGACGAAAAATTGGAACAAAACTCATTCCCTTACTACAAGAATTTTAAGGATGCAATGCAAAATCTGGGGCTGCACAGTCATGCAGTAGTTAGCACTGCGGCCTTGCAGTGCTGGAGCCCTGGATCCAGTTCCAAATCAAAGCCAGATGTGCAGTTGTACGATTTTATCAGACACTTTGGTCATTGACGTTATCCACACATTAATATAGCACTAGGACTTCACAGTGAAACATATTTTGTTTTTTTAATAATGAATGCAAATTAATCTGATGTTTTTATTCAATAAACCTTTTAATTCAATGCAAGTTGATTAAAAAAAATAAAATCCGGAACAAACAGCCTGCATTTATTACTGTGTAATCACCGAGACTCTTAAAGATGGGACAATTTTAAAATTTATTTTTTTGTCGCATAAATCAACATTTTGATGACTAAATTTGCTCACAAAACTTCAGGTAGGCAATTGCCCTTCTGATCAAATCTTTCACATTGCATCCGACCTGAATGCTTAACTGTTTGTCACAATTGAATGTTTGCAATAGTTAATAAGAACTGGTATTAATGATACATTTAGTAATGTCCCTTAGAGGACAATATCAAAAGGGCAACACTGGTGGTGCAATGGTGAGCATTTCTCTCTCGCAGTGCTGGGGCCCAGGGTCTCAGTTCCTGGGGTGCTGTATGCGTGGAGCTTGTACATTTCCCCTGTGCTTGCACAGGTTTCCTCCAACAGTCCAGACGTATTGGTAGGGAAAATTGGCCGAGGTGTGAGGGCCCGTGCGTTTGTGTCCGAGGGAGGAGTGTATCCAGCCTTGCACCTCTTGTTTGCTGGGACAGGCTGCGACCACCCTGTACTGGACACAGTGGTGAGGAAACCACTTGTGACTCATGTGAACGGAGTGCAATGACAGCAGAGCCGCCACCAGAGGGCACCTGCGACAGAGCTGCAGAACTCCGATGACATCAGTGTTGGAGTTTCCCCCCCATGCGAGAAGGTCGCTTGATCCCCATTACCCTAAAATAGCAACAAACACCTAGTCCTAGGGGCACTTATATGTAGTCTTACTAATCAGCTACTTTAACAAGTACAATAAAATTCTGTCATGTTGCTGAAGGTCAGGCAGTTCTGACTTTGGTTGTGCCAAGCCAGTACAGATGGTTTCCTGTGCTTTTCCGTGCATGGCCAGAGTCAAGTCAGTGTGTCCTCCAACAGCTACACTGGCAATAAAAATGATCACTTTCAGTGATGCACAACTAATTGTTTGTACATTTTGGTGTGCCTGATTCTACACACCCTCTTAACTGAGATGGCAGAACTATTGGCGCACTTTTCCCCCCCCACACAGAGTTATACTGAATGCTGGCTGATGTTTTTTAAGTAATGACTACAAGAAGAATTTGTGTGTTATTTGTCAAGTGATGTTAGTTTTATGTACTGTTAGTACATGAAGGTCAAATGTTAAACCATAAACTCTCAAGGGGGTGTATCCTTTCACCACGGTTTATGGCGCAGGTTTGCAGGTCATGTGTGAGTGAACAACAAATCATTGCAACTTTCAGCAAGACCATTCAAAACTGTAATCCCAGCAACAAGCTAAAGAGTCTCCTTTTTTATGGAATTTAGGAGGAGTGATAGGAACATTTTTTACTTTGTGTTACAAAGAGGACTGGCCACAGAAGTTACCTGCTCCTCTAAAATCCTACGCTGCAGAGTCTCAATATAGTGCTGCACAGCCATGTATATAAACCGGTACTGCGCCTCTGTCTGCACCATCCCTGAACGCTGAGATCGCACCATCTGGATGGTTTTGGGAACATCAATATCGCAGTCCACCCCTGCAAGACAAGGCCAGACAACATTCTTCTCTGTACAGGTGACCCAAGACATGCAGGATAACAGACAATAAGATCCAATTCCTCGTTATTAATCAGATATACAAATAAATACATGAGATGCTTATACTAACATTTTAGAATTAACGAGGAGAGATTTAATATCATGCATTTAAAGAGACTTATTGTAACTATAGTTTCTTCCCCACTTACCCTTTTCTCTGATTATATCAATTAGGATGTCTATTACAATAAATGTTCCCGTCCGTCCAATGCCAGCACTGAAATAACAAAATAGTTACATTTGTAACAACTGTTATACAGCAGTGTTTAACAGAGATAATACAAGCTGTGGAAAAAACTTATAACGAAAGTGGAATACTTAAGCAGTGATTTCCAAAACAGTCTTTTAGACTTGGTAGATTACTGAATGACACACTAAGATGTTTCAGTGGTAACCGATTCAAAGGAGGCTGTTGAAGGAAAACAAAAGGCACTGATCTGACTTTTATTGGCTTGCTGTCTGTGGGATGGTCAATGGGAAATCCCAGGCTGGTAATATTACAAGCAGAGGCAGTCAAATTTCAAAGCACCGATTTTAAAGCAAGCAACATGTATCTGCGACACTGTAAGAAGAGGCAGTACATGGGTTTCTACATTTGAGGAGATTTAAAATAGTTTGAAGAAAGTATTTTAAAGTCTGTAGTCTGTAGACCCAGCAGATGTCAGCTTAACAATGAGCAAACCGCTAAACCACAACAGAAAAACAACAGCGCCATTATTTTGAGTGTATTTAAACACATTTAACTTGAAACACTTGCTCCACCGTTTTTCTTGTAGAAAAATCAGTTCTGACAATTTTTGAAAGCCAAAGGGTGATGCCACAATGAGACATGGACTGTGCAAGTACAGAAGAAAAGATGGGTTCTTAGGCCAATAATAACAAGTTGAACAAGCAAAGCTCAATAAATCACAGAAAAGCTCTTAAGAAATCCTTACTGTTTACATTTCTAAAATAAAGATAAGTTTCTTGGGATGCTGCTCCCATACGACAGGCTTCGCTGGCGTGGTCAGGTACTTTCAGACAGGCGAGTGGCCTGTGGACACGGACACGGACACACCGGTTGGAAGAGAGGAACTTGCCTGCAATGCACCACAATGGGCCCAGCCTCCAGGATGCTCTCCTGTTTGAGGTTGACCTCCTCCAAGAAGTCCAGCACACCCCCAGGGTCGCCGGGCACACCGTGGTCGGGCCAGGCTCGGAAGTGGTACTGCCACACCGTCCGCTCCGTGTTCCCCTGGAACAAATAAGGGCTTGCGTGGGGCGGCAGAGGAACACGCTGGAGCACCCCTCAGCGAGACAGGACACCCATACCCGTCACAACTGTAGTTGCAGTTGGGAACAGAACATTATCTGTGTATTTTCAAGTTATTTTTAATTATATGTAAACCTTTTACCACAGCTGAGGATAAAGTGCGACTGCTTGTCACAAAAAGATCACAAGCAAAGACTAGGCATCACCATCACACAGCCCATCACTGTCTACCTCCTTTCTCCTGCTTACATTCGGCAGATTAAGGCAATGGGCCAATTGCACTATTACCTTTCCATCTACAAGGAAAAAAAAAACATGCTGAAACTCTACCAACCTGTCCAACCTTCGATAATTTCAGTTCCCTCAGAATATAGTCATGTGCCGAGTTCTCCTTGACATTGCGGACACGCATTGCGCCGTACTCCTTCAAAGCGGAGACGTCTGGCCAGTACTTCACACATTTACTCTGCAAACAGAGGGGAGATTAAAGGGCAGGGCTGCAGATGGCGAGACTCGTCAGGTTTTCTGCCCAAAGAATGTGGGACAACCTCTGAATCAAAGACTGGTCTGCTCTTAACAGAATAGTTTCAAATTGTGAACATTAAACCAATATACCCCAAACACCTGACCCTATTTTGTACCATAGTGGCCGACCACTTGGATGCTTATTTTGAATAACCAGCCATAAAAAGGACAAAGCCTTATTTAAAACAGCTACGTAATTGAATCATTCCTCTTGTAGGGTCAAAGTGGTGATGGGCACAGGACCCTACTGTCATTTTGATAGCCCTCTTACATTTTCTCAGTGTTAGAACTTGGTATTCTTTTATTATGGACAGGGATTCAAATACACTGGTGATCCCTACAGTTACACAAGCAGAACATGATGCGACGAACAAAACACTTTTGCATTCTCTCTTCCAATCCATGTTTGTGAACCGGATATCGGAACATATCGGAAGCCCCGTCTGTTGGGTGAACAATCAGACAGAGCAAACCCATTCCTGAACCTCACTACCTTTCCTCGCTCCACCTCCTTGGTTGTCATGACGATGACCCGGGAGTTCTCCTGGAAGACCATCCTCCAGAAGTCGCTGATGGTGTTCTGCAGGCAGCCCTGCGTGGCGATGTAGCACTTCTTCGACTTGGAGTTGTTGCACTTCGTCTCAAATTCAGGCTGGAAAGAAGAAAGAGTTGACGTCTTTCGAAAATACTATAAGCAAAGCCTAAAGTGGAAACAGTCAACCATCTGAAATGATATACCATGCTCCTGTTGAGGATGAAAAATCATAACCCCCCCTTTTCAAAATTGACTTCCATCTGACCATTTATCCATTTTATCTTTGGATTATGTGGCTTTAATTTTTCTGTAGCTATAAAGCTATTCCTTTTCTGGGATGGTGTTTTATGAATGGTGTTTTTCCTTATGTGCTTGCTGTAGAGCCCCAGTACAGAACTATAATAATATAACTACAATGCTATACATTATAATTCTATTTCCTTCTGCAATTCTTTTGACGATTACAAACTCAAATATTTAGAAAATTCAGCTTTTATGTTTTTCGCATTTAACTGCAGCAACCAGCCACACCCCAGTTCTGCTGTCTTACTATTTAATGCCAGGGAACTGTCTTTGTAGAACTGCAAAGGAAAAATTTTAAAATAAAGGCACCAGAGACTAAAGTATCAGTGCCCTTCACCTGAGGGAATGTTTTTTTTTTTTACTTTTTATTTAGCGATGACAAGATTTACAAACAGAACGTGTCCAGAACACCAAAATAAACGTTTGTCTTCATCTTTCATTCTTGTTACATTATCTTTATACATATATAGAAAATAAACTATTGACATTATGCCAGCAGATATGGGGGGTTATCCAAGAAAATACAGTTGTTTAATGAGAAACGCAACAAACAACAAAATAAGACCACACAGAAATATTACTGTACATTCTCTCAAACTGAAATAGATAAATTTCATACATGATACAGACCGAGTCTGAAGTGTCAGCATTGCTCTACAGCTCTGTACAGATTTATATTTCCTCACTTCTATAATTCACTTACCATTATGATGTTGGCATTGATATAATCGGACCCCGGTTCATTTACATCCCCATCGTTTAGCACCACACGCGTATGATCAACTGCAAAGGAGGGAAAACAGTTTTGCGATCAGTTGTATTAGAAGTCACAGTAAACTAATAAAATGTAAGAAAATAAAAAATGTTTCAACACAATGGCAAACAGTACCATGCCACCCAGCGCTTACAAGTGTAACACTATGCCATGAAGCAGACTGCAGGCAAAATGCAGTTATATGAAACAATTCTGATGTTATCTGCATCATGTTCAGAAAATGTCCATAAAGAGTATGAATATTTAAGTGCAGCTATTAATATAAAATGAAAAGAGGATTTTTAAACAATAATGCAACTTATGGAAAACACCAAAGTTGTCCGAGACCTACATGGTACCAAAATTGTTGGGACCTCTTTTTGACCATTTTTCCCCACTTCTTCTGAAGTTGTGAATGATTCCAGTTGTTTAAAAAAATTAAACTTATATTCTTTTCCAATGTTAAGTTAAATTTAAATCTGACTAATCTAATGGGCAAACATGGGTGACCAGGTCTGGGGTTTTCAATCAGCCTAGAGGCTAATGCAGCCATATAGCGATTTTAAAGAATGAAATCATTTTTTTTTTCTAGATCCCATATTCTTAGCAAGAAACCATCTCAAAGCCCTACATCTTGTTACAGAATGACACTTTGCAAAATAACCGCATGAGCAGACTACAACCTGTTTCTACACGGAAGAAGCCACAGTGACCGGGGACATACTGTGGAATACTTTGAGCTGGGAAAAGAAACCAAGACTCCAAATATGAAATATACATCACCACACCATCTTCTTAGGCGGTTTTGAAACCTGTGCTGATATGATGGCGCTATTAAGAGACCAGAGCACCCACAGTCTTAAAGGGGTCTTAACAGTAACGAGGGGGAAACGGGGAGGCACTCACAAGGCAGAATATTTTTGTATCTATTCTTGTTCTTATTCTCCGCTCGCTGTCCTTCTTTGCGACTGTAAAGGAGCTTGCACTCTTGTTGCTGCAAGGTCTGCAACACAAAGCACCACACGAGAAAGCTGTGAACACGGCAGGTAGGGGTTAAGAGGAGCAGCAGTGGGGTCGGAGCCAGGGCTCGGACAGCTTCCGCCTGCACAAAGCGTGGTCCAGAACGGTCCTTCAAGATTCTCCTTCCACACACAGGCCAAGGCCGATGCAGGAGGGGCTGAACTTGCATTACACAGACAGAAGATGCAACAAAATCATGGTGCAGGTTTTCATTTGGACTAAACATCAAATTATTCATTGTTGAATGATATTAATGACACTCAATGTTACCCTGCATACAAGTCAAGAGACCCTGACTAAATTGCATTGGAGTAAAATTAGACTTGGCAGCTCAGATATTCCTTTTACTGGAGTAGCTGGTTTTGAAGATATTGGCAAAAGTAACATAAAACAAATTCTTAGGAGAAGCATTCTGTAGGTCTTTTCAAATAAAGCTGCTTCAGAAATTTTCGCAGGCAAGTTTGACAGTTTCAGAGAATACAGATAAAGGGATCCTTACCTCAAACTCCTCCCAGAAGCCTTGCTTGACCTTGTCCGTAGCCTCGGCCAACTTGCTCAGCTCCTTCACCCGGCTCTCAATCTCTGCGGCGTTGATCCGGGTGGTGTTCAGAGGCTTCAGGGAGGTGAAAAGCAAAGTCAGGAACACAAATCGACTAGCACACCTTCTAGCAGTAACGATCTTGTTTTTAATGTGTAGTAAAAAAAGCAAGAAGTCATTGTTTTAAAGAAACAAGTAGACTTGCAATGTCTACGGATTTGACCGATATCAAGAGTGATGACATGGAAAAAAACGGCACCAACCGATTCCAAAAATCAGGGATGTGAAGCCCTACTGCTGGATACCTGTTTCAGCTGAAGCACAGTGCCCAGCGTCTCCACCATCGGATTCTTCTTGTAATGTTCCACCAGGTCCGTGAGGGAGTCAAACTTCTCCCCTCCACCCACGTCGTACTTTAGGTCCTGCTGTAAATTCAGAGAAGGCTCGTTCATTCTTCAAGGGTATTTTAACACTTTCACATACATGACCACACATTTGCTTTAGAGACCAATAACACCACCTCATGTTGAACCACAGGTTTTTCAGGTCTCCTTAAAAACAACTGCTTCTTAAGACTCCAGTAGGTCACAGCAATATTATCAAGCTCACGAGTATATCTTATGTTTTTACCAATAGTTTTGTTCGTAATACGATTGAAATGAATGGTGATCAATGATATCATTTGCATCATTAGTAAAAATGTACACACATGAGAATTTAAATGCGAGATGTCTATATGAATGCGCCCCGACTAGCTCTGTAGGTAGAGCATGAGACTCGCAATCTCAGGGCAGTGGGTTCGTGTCCCATGTAAGGCGCAGGATTCTCCAATAACCCATACTGGGCAGCAGTGACAACTACAACAACACTAGCACTATCTGCGCAGAAGAAAGGCCTGGCAATCTACTTCCGTACCTTGTCATGAAAACTCTATGAATAGTGATGGGGGAACTATCCCTAGGGTCACCATGAGTCGACGAACTCGACAGCACTCACTCCATCCCCCATCTATATGTACACAGCGCTTTAGAAATCTTTGTAACTTGTTTTGGCTGGTGGGCTTGCAAATGAAAGAAAAATAATAAAAAACAAGTTGCAAAAAAAAAAAAGAACTGCTTCAAAGCTGTGCAGATCAGGGCTCACTCGTGCTAATCGAACCCTCTTCCCGAACCGACATGCTATTGCTAGGACTGTCGACCTTGAAAACCAAAATTGCAGAGCTTTGCTCTACGTCTTTGATCTTTCGTTAAAAGAGTACTTGACAACACTGCCCAAAACCTTTGACTCCTGTGACACGGGGCTGCCACGTCCATTTTCGCCCCAAGGTGCCCTGCTCGCCGCTGGGCGCTCACCTGGCAGCGGATCATGACGTGGGTGACCTTTGGCTTGCCCTCGCTGCTGTCGCCCTTGTCATCCCCGGTGCGAACGGACAGGACAAAGTCTCCCGGGTGGCTCTGGCTCTCCCGGACCAGGAAGCTGCCGTTCTTCCCCTTCTCCGTCAGCAGCTTCTCCGCCTCCCGGCCAGACAGGTGCCCATGGAACCACCTGGCGCGCACACACAGGGCAACGTTTGTAACACGCCGCATCATAAAGACTCTTTACTGCACAGAAACGACTCTCCAAACCGACAGCTGCTGGAGCCCCATTTACTCACACGCTAAAAAACGAAAAGGGTTTCATTTTGGTGGAAGAAGTCCTGTACAAGTCTGTTGTAGCTCTCCCCAGAGAAAAAAAAAACTGGAAGCATTTGATTTTCTTTCAGTTTCAGCTTTAACTGGCACTGGCAATGTTCCTCTAAAATGAAACCAACACAGTCCCACTGTTCCGACAGGCAAGTCTGAAGAAACAGCCAGCGGTTCTACGCTGTGGGTCCTAACTCCACAGGTGATCGATCCATCACGCGCTGCTGTTCCTGGCGAAGACCTGAGCTCACCTTTCAGAGGTGGGGTCGGCGCAGTTCAGCGGGTACTTCAGCTCGATGACGTCCCCGTTCTTCTCCTTCAGCTGCCCGTGGTGCTCCATGTAGTACTGCACCAGCTCAGCCAGCGTGGCAAACTTCTCCCCGCCATAGAGGTCGTAGTAATCGCCGGTGTTCTGGATCTTGATGTGGGTGACGGCGCCGTTCCGCCTGACGAGCCCAAACACAGCGCAGCTGAACAACGCTCTTTGGGGATCTGCTACTTTGCTTTGAATATGGAACTAACTGGATGAATCAAATTTCAACAAATACATGGACCCATGAATACTGCCATTTATAGCCACTTAACCCCCCCCGGAGCTCAGGGAACCCCAGTCAAGCCCAGTGAGCCGATTTACTGGCTGAGCCGCTCAGAAACCTTGAAACATGGCACAGTTGATGACACATCAAGCGATCAGGGACCTATACCCACATATCTGGAACTGTGAATTCAAGAACCAACTACTTTTGGTAAAATCACCCACCCACAGAGAGATTAATGGGTGTCGTTGCAGAATTCTATTTTTAGATGGATTAAAAAAAGAAATGTTACTCAGTTAAAAACCACAAATCTGCTATGGAGTGACTGTTTCATTGAAAATAAACACCGTCGAGAAATGTTGAACACAGTGCTGAAGGTTACACCAATTCAGGACAAAAAGCAACAGTCAAAAACAAAGCATGTTTAGCATGAAGCTGCAATGTCCGGGACACTATAAAGCATGAAGACCTGAACTACAGATGTGTAGGATTTTTTTGGTACATGTCGCTTCCACTACAGTGAGCAACTGAGAAGCAGAAAAGCCATTTCTTTCTTCGTAATGCAGAAGGGTGGGCAAACTTGCTCAAGTGCTGCACTGAGTCAGATTCGCTACTTTGGATTGATCTTAAGCAATCCGAGTATAAAAACACAAAAGCTTCCATCTCCTTTTTTTTTTTTACTTTGTAGGCTGTTCAGCAGTTTATGTGTAAAATGACAAGTTTTTACAACATAGGACTCTCTGGTGCTTGTGGAACAGAATCACGCAGTCAATTTCATATTTAACAAATGTTTAATTTGTTATAATTTTCAGATTCCGAGTTTGCTTTGTGGCAGTATTTCAAGCCACAAGTCAGCAGACGCGCCCATCTGCCTTCAGTAAGGAAGCAGACACTGAGAAGTGGCTTGTGACGTGGGATATTTCTCAGGCCACGCACCCTCACCCAGGCACTAGATTTATTTTAAGAACACTGCAAGGATAAATCACCATTTTGAAACCAGTTAAAATAAATTCCATCTGCGTAAAAAAAAAAGCCATCTCTCACCAGAGCTCACCTCTCACTGCAGCTTAGCACTTCACAAGCATACAGAACAGTATCCTCACAAGTCTAACATGAGGATTGAGATGTCTTGTCCTTGGGCAGTCCTGGAATCATGCTTCAAAACGGCATCGTGCACCCCGACATCCAGAATTAAACATACAAGCAGGACAGCTTCCATATCAATGAAAAACATCTTACGGCAAACAAATTTGTGGTCTTTAATCATAAGGTTAGCTACCACTTCATAGTAGTTCAAATTACAAATACAAAACAAATGTGAGAATCTGAAAATAATTCCATCATGCAGACTTCTCACCTTAGCTGTGATGTTCAGTGATGGTGTAGCTATTAATGAGCTCCTCAGTATTTGTATTTTTCTAGGACACCGATGACAAACTGAGCTGTTAATGCATCAATGCACAGTTACAGTTTTACAAAATGCTGTCATCAAGGACTGTTGCTGGGCCCCATAACAGGTCCGGGGTACATATAGTGCACCACGATATGTAATGGTATTGTTTTACACGCACCATTGCTGCAACACCAAATCTGCTTCCAGTGCAACAGCAGTTCCTCCACTCTACCATCGGAAATCTTGCAGGCAGATGAGTAGCTCCCCACTTTGAAACTTAAGGCGAGGCCAGACTAGGGCATTATGATGACTCTGCATAACTGTCCTGGACTTCCTCCATCCTTAGAAAGCTACTTATCTGAGAACCTATCCCAGAAACACCGGGCACAAGGCTGCACTTCATGAGACACCAGGCCATTGCGGAACGTGCAAACAGAGACAATTTAGAGACGCCAATTCGCCTCCAAAGCCAGTCTTCAGTAGGTGGAAAGAAACAGCACATAAATATCACACCTCTGTGCAGACGAAGCCTCTGTCCAGAACCAGCCCAAGAGCTGTGCAGCAGCAACTCCAACAGCCACACTGCTGTACTGCCACCCTAGACTTAGGCACGCCATTCACTTTTCTTACTCTCGAAGTAAGAAGTAAACAAGAGCAGAACAAAATCCACTCATGCTCAAATTTCTATGAGCCACACATGGCACTTGCCAGTGTCTGCCCACTCTTCAACCCTTTTCAGCTCTAGAGCGGAGCTAGAATGTCGGTCAAACCTCATACCCCAGGAAAGCCAGAGCTGTTTTTTCTGGAATTTTCTGGAACACTTACATACCATGACGGTCATTGAAAATGACTATTGAGCCGTCTTAAGAATCTAGATACAACGGGTAACACCTAGCTAGGGCAAACATCAGAAGCAAGAAAGGAAATACTGTATGACCTTAAGTCAGTTGTTCTGGGTGTGAACTGCATTGATCAAAGAAATCCTTGATCAATTAAGGTCTGGGTAAATGATAATTTTAGTGTCAATCAACATTCCAGGAACACAGAATAAAATAGGCAGGAACAGAGAAAGCAAAGGAGAAGGATACTGGAAGGGACAGAAAGAGGGAGAGAAGAGAAAGGGAGGACATGGTTAAGTAAGAAGGTGCCAGATGAGAGCTCCTGGTCCTGCTCATCCATGAAGACCAGATCCGAGTCGAAGCTTGATAAGAGAGCTAGCCTTTCTGTTGTAAAGAACCCGATTTCCTGTGCGGAGATACCCTCAGTTAAATACAGCCTCGGCTTTGAGTGAGCGACTGCATTTTTAGAATAGGGACGTAGGTTCTTGAGAGAGCTTTAACTGGTGTCCGTATTCTGTTTGGTGGTGTAGAGGAAGATTTGTCTCTCATTGGCCTGTGTAGGTGTTACACACGAGTTAAATACTTGACAGCAGTCTGTGACTTTTCTGGTTGGTCAGGACATAGGCCTCTGGGACACTATGTTTGTAAATTTCTAAATACTGCAATATGCATGTTGCAAGTTGTTTAATATGTATTGCTAATATTAATAAATAAAGGTTTAACCCCGTATGCCTGCCTTATTACTTTTTTTTTAAATCAAAGCTTTGCTGGAGAACTAAGAACTCAGGGGCCGAGTGGGTATGATCTTGGCAAAATCTTTACAATTTACAACTTGATGATTTAATTGACTTGCTGATTAACCCACCCAGCCTATTTCTGAAATTCACTATTTTCGCAGCCCCGCTATTTGTAACAACACACCGAAAGCAGTGTCGGTTCTAACCTCGGCGCTCCACTCACGCTCCTCCCACAACGGGGGCAGGGGCCATGCGCGTCGAGACCAGTTCTAAGGAAGGCACGGCAAAAATCCCCACTGCCACAGGAAGAGCAGATTATACAGCTTGAGCTGCGAAAGGAGTGATTTCCCAAGAGCTCAGACCAGGGGCATGAGTACTCTTCCCCAGCAGGTGAAACTCCTTGCGCTCACCTCACAGACAGAGTGAAATCCCCAGGGTTGCTCTTGCTGGGACGAGCCAAAAAGCTGCCATCCACCCCCCGGGTCAGCAGCAGGTTCTCTGCCTCCACACCTGTGATGTTTGGGTGAAACCACCTGCAAGATGCGGGGGAAAAAAAAAGAGCATTTCAATCTGAACGTCCAGTGCTACGCCCAGCTCACTTCGAGCCCAGTATTTGATTCTCATTTCCCCTCCGTAAACACCAGAAAATTAAGAGCAGTGTGCCTCCACTATGGCTCTTCAGAGCACATTAAGGTGATTTAGCTGTAGTTATAGGAGGAAATACTCTAGTTCAGTGGTTTTCAATCTGTGGGCCACGGCCCCCCAGTGGACCATGGTGGTACTGCAGGGGGGCCATCAAGTGACTGTTGTAATTGTAAGAGAGTCGTAAATATATAACATAATATATATAATATACATATTGAATAGATATTATGGTTTAGCATGCTGCATGACCGATGTGACCGCCATTTAATGTGACATGACAAGAAAGCTAATGCATATGTAGTATAACTGCCTAATTAACCGTCATATCATGGATAAGTGACTTGCGTTCGGTACTCTTACAAGGAAAGGCACAGTGGAAGGCCCATCTACAAGCAAAGAAAACGCTTCAGTGTGTCATACCAATAGCCCAAAATCCAAACCCAAACTAAAAAGAGAAACTACAGCAGTGAGTACCTGGCTCTGGGCTTTACGTGTGTGGGAACTGAGAACCAGCCACTGTGCGTTCCTTCACCTGTCCACTGGAAAGTCTACGTGTTGAATATCACGTAATGGATGGGGAGTTAACATCTACCTCTGTTTTGTCATTGTTCTGATAGTTATTGTGCATATTTCTGTTTCTCAGCGTCTTCATAAGGTCATGGGCACAGAAGGCTAACCTGCACTTCCGGAAAGACGTTCAGTTCGTTTTGATTCCGCCTGCTCAATTTTGTTTTAACAAAACGTTAAGTACGTGAGTTATCATAATAAAGAAAGAGCTGGACTGGGGCCTTGGTTTTCACAATTTATTTGTAGTTATTTTATTTATTTATTGGTGAGGTGCTGAGCGGACTCCTTCTGTAATCATTAGAAGGTCTTTGTAAAGCCATGTTTGCAGCTTGTACTGCATGCGCTTGTACGGGCCGCGGACGTTTTCATGGTCGGTCATGTGGGCCGCAAGCTGTAATAGGTTGGGAACCTCTGCTCTAGATGACAATCAAAAAACACTCATGTGAATACAGTACGTTACAGCCTCCCTGATCAATTATCCCTTAAGCCCATCATATTAACTATTCAAATACACGTATTTATTGAGCTGAATAACAAAGTGAAGAAATGAGAAGTACTGTAATAGAAGATGAGGAATCAAGGGCCTTCCATTTTGACACTAAGACAGCCAAGCATTTCCACAATGGACTAATATAGTTACAAACGCAACCTGAGTCAGAGCTGACAGTCATGTTCAAGGACTGGATAACTTATCGGAAAACATGGTGACTATAACTCATGATCAGTTCCTGAAAAAGTTATAGTCCTTCATAACGCATAAAATGTCCTCTCGTTTGACATTTATTTTCAAATGATTTTTGAGGAAGGGTCGTGCATTCTTTATGTCATGTGCATTTTCGCCCTTTAAAAGCAAAACCAACCTGGTTTTATTTTTATTCATGAACCTTCATGCATATGGTTTAACTTGTTTTGTTTTAATAAGACATTCACACGTGATGAAGTAGCTCAATCGGGGAGCTGCGTCAGCATGCACAGGCTGCAAAGGAACAAGTAAAGGTTTATTCCCTGCTGACAAGAGAAGAAAAGAAACACGTTTCGGCTGTAGAGCCTTCTTCAGGTGCGTGTTTCTTTCCTTCTCTTCTTAGCATGGAATTATCCTTTCCCTGTTCACAGTGATGCTTTCACTACCTGCCTGTTCCAGGAAACCACGTACTGTAGGCTGTTTCACCGTGCTTGTGTGTTCATCTACAGGTGGTTAGACATAGCAGATGGCCCATTGAGAAACAGTGTCCGCAACACAAGTGTGCTGAATTATAACACAGAGACACTGCCCGGTGTATACAGAGACATCAGTACAACCACAGCTTCTTCATTGGACTGCATTATCAGCTGCAATTGCCAAAGACTTCCACATCTATCCAATGAGATAGATCTGGAACTAGTAACATGATTCATGAACATAAATTCTTGCTTTTGAGTTTAAAAGAGAGATCAAATTGTCTGTGGTCATTTAGGAAATTTGCAAAAGGGAAACTGGATCCATTAACTTCCTTTGCCCTGAGTAACTTAAGACCAAACTAAACATAATATTTTCCTTCATAGTTTTTGCAAAATCAGGACTTTTACATCCACAAAACATAATACCATCATCACACTTCTTCCTGAATCAGGAGTACCATGTGCCAGTAACTCCAAGATGAAATCCTCAGTGTGAAATTCAGTGGATCTTCTGAAAGACGTCTACACATTCACCAAGAGAATCACCCAGGAAATGATTCACATTTTAATGCATTTAAACTCGACAGATTCCATCTATGCCAAAAAGCTAAGTTTGTCATATTGCTTCTCCTGTTGAATAAAACAATTAGAAGTCATAACTCTTTGAATGTTTGGAGTCTTGTGTAAGAAAATGAACAGTTACTAAGAAACCTCCCGTAAAAGGCATATAGACAAGCATAAGCCTTCGGCTCCTGTAGTATTCCACAAGATAATCCGGCAAATTCATCTTGATTATTCAAATACACGTCCTCATTACAACTTATAAAAATCAGCTTTGTTCTATGTCAAAGGAACGTTTTAACAAACCAAAACCAAGTACAATCATTGATGGTAATTAAAAACAACCAGCACCCATCAATTCCTCCAGACCACACACAGATCCATGCTGCTAGTTAGCAATCAAAGAAAAATGAAACATGTCTTACCTTCTCTAATGCACAGACAATCTTGAACCAAAAAATACATTCTTATATTTAAGAATTATATTTGTCTGACACTTTTATTAGAAGTGTCTTAGCTTTGTACCCATTTCTACAGCAAGACATTTGACTGAAGTAAGCTGAGCTGAGTACTTGGCTCAGGAGTGCGACAGCGGATCCCCACCTGGTATCCGAACCCGCAATCTTACATCTGCATGTCCAAAGACAGGATTGGAGTCCCCCAGATGTGAAGCACTGCCCAACTACAGAAGAACATTGGCTTACTTTTGCCTATACTGTACCTTGTGCCTAGTCTGATTATATATAGTCCAACTGAAAATTCCTAACCAACAGCAGCAGCAAACATCTCCTGCCTGCCCCCCAAGAAAACCAAAGTACCGTGGTAAACAAAAAAAAAAAGATTAAAATGCTTTGAGTGTCATGTACAACTACACGAAGATGATTTACTATTTCGCATAACATCTGACAATTCTTACTACTTTCATTTGCTCAACCTTTTAAAAACATCATTTTGGTTAAATACATCTTAATGGGAAAGACTCATTGAACCACAACACTGCAGCCTGATGTGAAGAATACAGAAGAGCTCGATTCACACGCAGTTAGAACGCACAATTCTTTACACCAAGCAGGAACTGCAGCCTAACTGAACAGTCGGCACAGTTCTTCCCCTCTCACACAGCACTGATGTCCACACTTATACTATCATCTTTTCACACCGTGAAACCCACACTTAGCACAAACTGAGACATGAATGAACGAAAGAACGACATGACTTTGCCTGACAACACAGCACGCGCTGCTCCTCTGCATTCTTCTGTGTTAACAACTACGCGAGTGTGATAGATACTAGAGCACAAACTCCACTTGATACCATAGAATCCCTCCGCAACAGGTTAAACAAACCCCACATTAAAGAGCCTGTACTTTAGTTAAAAAAAGCCTCATTTCCTGCCATTAATTTCAAACTGACCATTAATGTCAGACCTAAGCAGCAGCAGAACTCATTCTGCAAAAATGTGCACATTGTTCACAGAACGTTTTCACTGTTCGTGGAGTTTCATCAAATTACACTTTTCAAGTGGCAAGCAGTTTACTTGTTAGAAAAATGAAACTAGTATTTTTGTCTTTCAACTGATAGGGTTGTAGCACCAGTGCCAGAACCAGGAAAGCAACTGTAATACCTACAAGGCTATATATTAGATCTCTATGTCTGTATCTAAGATAGGGCCTATTTTCAATTTAGCAATCAAATCAAATCCAAAATCTGCCTTAGCTATTTTCATAACATTGTATGTTCTCCTTGTGCTCGTGTGGGTTTCTTCAGGGTGCTCCTGTTTCCATCTAGAGCCCAAAGACATACCGATAGGTTAACTGGCCCTCGTGTGAGTATACCCAAATGGACTTGGGTCCTGGTATATCCTTCCCACAACCCTGTATTGAATAGAGCACTTAGGAATTGGAAAGATTATCTAGATCTCTGCAAGATGCTGAAACTCCGGTTGTTGATGTTTTGACTCAAAAGTCTCCAAGAAGGGACTACATGCGATTCCTGGATTATTAAAATACAAGCCACCAAAAAAAACATTAGGGTACAATGGATCAGGCCTTTTGACAGTGTAACTCAAGAATACTAGATTGCTTACTGGAAGATTTCCTGCTTAAGTAGTGAAAATGAAATTGCCTTTAGGAACTGAAGATCAGAAGTTACCGCGTCTCAAAATGAGACTTAATTTTACAGTTAGCATCAAACGCATCAAGTAACCCTGGACATTTATAGAGCCACAAGAAGACCACGCAGACTGAACTTGAGATGTGCTTTCTATGATGATATAAAGCATTTTCCAATATAACTGTGCAGAAAACTATTTTGATGCCTGGCAGAGAAAAGCAATTAACCGAACAAAAGTTAATTCCACGCCGAAATGTGGAAATGAGGAGGCTTGTTCAGGGGCAGAAGAGTTTTACACACAGCACACCAGTGGACTGCATTTTTTGTGCTCTGGGCCAGCACTGCTCCTCTAAGGGGGCTGGGGGTATTTCTAATGGGACAGTTTAATGGATTGATTAAATGATTGGCCCGATTAGTGCAACTCGGATTGCTCACACGGGTCTCTGGGGGCTCGGGACGGTACGGGCAATGATGAAAACCCCTATACTACACGACAGCCCGTGAATAACAAGTGTGCATTAAAAGATTGAAAAAATAAAAATAAAACCGTCTTCTTGGGAAAGGCAGATCCCAGGTTACATTAATTATGGAAATTACATAAAACTAAGGAAAAGTAGTGAAAAACGGTTTGTTTTCATTCTCGGTCTTCAGAACATGAGCTAAAATTGTTCGTTTTCGGAGCACAACGTAAAACAATTTAATTTCGACACGTCAGGTCTTTAAAGCGCGGCTGTTGTATAGAACTTTCTCTCCGGGTTTAAATCAAATTTAGAAATCTTTTCAAAACAGAGCCTGGTGTTCTTAGAAAACGCTCATTTCAACTAGTACGACGTTCATAAACGATTCATCTGCACAACCTTGCCGTGCAAACAATATTTTTACTTTTTAATCAAAAGGACAGAAGTGCATGCTATCGAGTGTGCTGAAAAAAATGCTGATCCCGATGTATAATTCTGACAAAACAAGTCATATCTGGAATTTCTTCCGAAGATACAGACCGTCAATGACTTAATCTTTTTGTTTGAAAGACGCTCATCACATTAAAAGAAAACGAGACAATAGTATAGGAGGCAAAAATGATCAAGGCACCGTTACCAAAATACATTTTGGAAGCCAGACATTCGCTGAAGCAGAGTTTTTACAACCTACCTCCGAGATGTCATCTTTTTTTTTCGTTACTTCTTCAAGTGCTGGTTCCTCAATTTGATTTCCTCGTTATTTTCAGTCGCGCAATCTAGCCGTTTTATTTTTTTCCCCCACGGAGAAGTCAGACCAGCGCCCAACAGGCCATGAACCTGGCTCAGCCCGGGTTCAGAGACAAACGGTCGGGCTGGTGATGGCACGGATCAAAATTTATTACAAAATACCAAATGAAAACCCCTAGGCCTCACCAGCAAGACTCTGCCTACGGCAGGACTCGGAGATAAGACGTCACTAGACAAGACACAGACGCACTGTGGGGGCGGGACATGCTCTGAGGCTACATTCGCCATTTTGGATTATGGCAAGAACAAGTAGAGATTATTTATCGTCCAAAATATCTAATTAAATAATTAATTGCAGGTATTTAATTAAAATTTGTAAGATAAAATTCATTTTTTTTCATCGAACAAATAAACTAATATTACCAATCAGTGAAAACTGCACTACTTAAAATGTCTGTATTGAACTGGAAGCATATGTGTTTATACAATCAAGTTAGAAATAATGTTTGAAATAAAATAAAACTCATGTCAGCGGTTAAGGTAAATATAATTTATGTAAATACTATATAAAATTGTAATTGTATTTTGAAAAATACTTTATAATGCTTTTTCTTTGACCCATTTAGACCTACTGTCATTTTATTGTTGCCTTATTATGTTGCCCTGATGTGTACAGATCATACAATGCTGGCAAGATATGGTCAAATTCTTTCTTTTTCCAGATCTTATTTTATTGCTGCACACATCCACAACTACCAAGTGGTGTTGGACCCAAACATTTCTCATATACACAATACCCCAAAGTTATGATCAGTAAAAAAAATACAATACACATAAAAGGACTCTATTACTAAAAATGAGTCAGGACATCAATTATTACAATATGATATGGATTTGTTAAACAACTCAGAGTAATCCATTTTGACTATTCTGAGCTGCCACCTTTTAATTTATGAATGATAATGAGGGTGTAATCAGTCTAAAAACATATTGCAATGTGGTAACTGGTATACAGTATATACGTGGGTTAGGAAATACATTTAAACCTCTTCTACTGTTTCGCTTCTTTGTCCTTCACTAGATCCATGCTGTTCATGGTTGCTTAGGGCCAAGATCGGACTGTTTGATCAGTGATTCAGATGTTAAACAACAGCGCAGGTGAACTGTGTTCCGTACAGCTCTGGGCTTGTGAACTGCTGGAACGTCTAGTAGCAGCAGATATTTTTGAAGATGGCTTTAGGCTGTCATGCCAGCCTGTCAGCATTACAATGGCTATTGATTATATAGGTCTGCGCTGCATGGAATCGATGAGCAGTACTCCTTTGGCATATCAGAGGATGCCAACCATAGTAGTTCCAGACAAGGTGGTTGTGCTGAGCTTCTGCCAGTTCTCTTATTATGTCTTGGCCTTGATGCCTGAGTGCTGATTCCACAGCTCATCAGAAAGCCAAGGTGAGACACAGACTCTTTTGGCTCAGTTCTCCAGAGTTCCAGCGGCTTTTTACTGTACTCCACTCTTGCAGCAAGGTTGTTGAGATTTCAGGGCTTTACTTAATACATCCAGCAAAAACATTTCACATGTCAAAAAGGTTGTGCATAAAGGTTTCATTAATGCTAAATTTGCCTCCCTTATTCTGGCTCTTTGATTCCTTGATTAGTCTCATGCTTTTCAGCACAGCACAGCACAGCACAGCACAGAATTTCTCTGAACTGTTTGTACCAGTTGATCAGCTGGTGGTGAGCAGACACAGGTGGGGGTGACACTGTCACACACTCCCACAATCAGCATTTTTGTCCTGCTGCAGAGACCCATTTGGCTATATGCAGACCTGAATGAGGACAGTTCTGAATTTCAGAGACTGGTACAGTGTTGATACCAATCACAAATTCCATTTGACCTTTTAGGAGCTGAAAGCAAATTTACAGATATACCCCTAATAGAAAACTAAAATCACTTAGTCTGTGATAAGGAATCCAGAAGACAGTGTTGCTCCAAGGTTAGGGATCCCCATTTCTGTGGGTTGTAAGGATCTTTTTAAATCACTAGCACCCAACATGCTGGCAGGGATTGTTGTGCAGCTCCAGTTAAGACAATATTAGATCAATGTGAATTAGCTGAATTAGAACCATTGTGTTGCAGTGAAGATCTGCAGGAATACAGCCTTCAGGAGAGGGGTGTGAACCCCACTCTGAAGAAGGGGCTCTCATTCCTGCCCCAGGGAACTGCTGTGTCCCCTGCTTTTTGCCCTGGGCAAATTCTTAACGAATTCATGGAGTTATTGTCAACCAATTATCTTAGTTTAAATACCTCATTTTGCACAGTTTATTTTTTAATCTCATTGTCTTGCAGTCCATGTGGGTCCTAATGCCCCAGTATAGTGACGGGGACACTATACTGTAAACAGGTGCCGTCCTTCGGATGAGACTTAAAACCGAGGTCCTGACTCTCTGTGGTCATTAAAAATCCCAGGGTGTGTAACCCCGGCATCCTGGCCAAATTTCCCATTGGCCCTTACCAATTATGGCCTCCTAATAATCCCCATCAATGAATTGGCTTCAATGTGCAGCATTCAGGTGGATGCTGCACATTTGTGGTGGTGGAGGGGTGTCCCCATTACCTGTAAAGCGCTTTGAGTCGAGTGTCCAGAAAAGCGCTATTAAAGTGTAAGCAATTATTATAATTATAATTAATTTTGTTCGAAAGAGCTTTGGATATTTCAAATGATAAATAAAATAAAGTCAAAGGAATAATTCTTGAGGATCCTACATTTTGTATCATTATAATATCGATTCATATGAAATAAACATATAGGTAATTTCGTAGGACAATTGAAACATCTTGTGAAAAAGAAAATTGGCTTCATACCCATGGGAAACTACTATGTCCAGCAAGCTTTGCGACCTACCGTGCGTGTGACGTCATTCAACGGCGCATTTTTAATCGTGAATGACCCGGATGTCGATCCTTTTCTAGTGAGCTAAGGTAAGAATGGCTCCTCGGTGCTTGAATTGCTGAATTAAAATCCGTGACAATCTTTTAAAGTTACTCAAAAGGGCCCCCAAATCCCTTACTTCACAGAAAGCTAACATGTTTAAGAATAACCTTTTCTGGGAATGGTGTCGTCTGGTTAGGTTTTTGATGGTGTAATTTGCTGTTGTGTACTGAAAGTATAGGCCTGCCGTTATAGTACTGGGGACACGGTGCAGAAATATTCTTAAACCACTAGAACGAGTTACTGTCAGGGTTACAAGTAGATGTAGACATTAGTAGCATATCGTCTAGAACACGTTTCGGAGGCGGTTGATTTATGTTTAATTTGCTGTAAAACAGCCGGATCCAGGTTACCGGGGACGGGTCTTGGTCTGGCTGCTGGTGTGTGTTTTGCATGTGTCAAGCTAGCGAATACCCCACACGGACCCGCGTTCATCAGCGGGTTAGAAATGTGAGAATAACGCCACACTTTCGGAAACCCGTGATCCCGTTAGTGTTTCCTCACGGACTCGAGTGGGGAGGCCGTCGTGGAGCGGGCCGGTTCCCGTGTGTCTCTGGTAGCGGCGGCGGCCTGCGCCCGGGCTGCCTGCCTGCCTGCCTGCCTTCCCTGCGTCAGATTCGTGAGTGCTCCTAAATCGTTATCAGGAGTACCTTGCGAATTGTTTTTCAGAGGTTTGCGTGATAACTTGTTTTATTTTTCCTGCCCTCGTTTCGATCAAACTGCTGAAACCAAGCGTCGTACCGATTTGGAGACGCTGATGAACTAGACCGGTGTTCTGACATGAGGCGGTTTTTTTTTTTTATCGTGGAGCCTGAAAGCATTTTCGCTTTGAACTAAAGCTGGAATTCTTATAGTAAACAATGCTATTGCAGTAGGTTTTACCCTTGAAATGATGTATCTTGGCGCTCATGCGGTTGCGTTGTGGACACGGCTAATCCAAGCCGCACTCCTGCTGCCTGGGTGTTTTTTGGTGGATGGCTTGAACCCGGCTCGTTGAATGGTGGGGGGCGTTGTCTAGGTTTTCATTCTGACCTTACTCTTAGCCATCCAGCTAATCGACTCATTGACAAGCCTGCCTTCGGTACTTTTGAGTGTCTCAGGACCTGTCGCACTGTTGCCCTGGGTTAGAAAATAGACCCGTTTTGCACCCAGCTTAGCTCATGCATGTAGCAGTGTGGCTGTAGTGGATTGAATCTGAAACCCCCCCCCCTCTCTACATCAGATGGCAGAAGACAAGAAGAAGAAGGTGGCGAAGAAGAAGCTGCACCACACGTGCCGCAATCCGCTGCTGGCGCGGGGCCTGAGGAGGTTCTCCCGCAGCGCTATGTACGAGAGGAGGGCCCTGTACAAGCGCAAGACCAAGACCACGGAGACCAAGGTCAGCGCCCGTCCACTCGCCCCTCGGGGTGCATCCTGTGCCTTTAGACTGTGGGAGACATTGGTGGCAGTCTTGACCATGTGATGCATCCATAATGCAAACTGTGTATAAGCAACATCGTTCCTAAACAACAGTATGTCAGGGGTATTAAGCAATATGCAAGAAAGATGAGATCGCTTTATTGGCAGTATACAATTTCTTGTATTGGGAATTTCTTTTCAGCTTGCTCTCCATGAGACACACAGACAGGGAGAAAAGCTGGGGGTCAGAGCGTAGGGTCAGCCATTTATACAGCACCCCTGGAGCAGCTGGGGTTAAGGGCCTTCCTCAGGGGCCCAACAGAGTAGGATTCCTCTGCCGGCAGCAGGATACGAACCGGCAACCTTCCAGCCACAGAGCCACCGGACAGCACTAATTGCTCATTAATATGTACATTCTTATAGATGTTTTCTTTGGGTATTATCCTGTCTTAGCCTTGAGGTTGTATGGGATGTGGGTGCAGCCATGCACTTGTTTAATCCAGCGTGTCATTACAGATTGAGAAGAAGCTGAAGGAAAAGGCTCAAGCCACTGTCACCAAGACTGTCGGAGGGGACAAAAATGGAGGCACCCGTGTGGTCAAGCTCCGTAAGATGGTATGCTTCTTTCCTTACCTAAGTCATCTGACATTTCTCAGCACCCAGCTTAATACAGTTGGGTTTTGCAGAAGTTTGTAGATTTTGTGTAAGTGATGTTTTGCATTTATAGGAAAGCAACTGTTTATAGTTGTTTGTAGAGTTTCTGTTGAATAGTTTGGTGTGTTTCCCCACCCTCTTCTCCAGCCCCGTTACTACCCCACAGAAGACGTTCCTCGCAAGCTGCTGAGTCATGGGAAGAAGCCCTTCAGCCAGCACACGAGGAAGCTGCGAGCCACCATCACCCCTGGCACTGTGCTCATTCTGCTGACCGGCCGCCACCGGGGCAAGGTGAGAGGCTTACGCAGAACCGGACCGTTCCATCAGTGTCATGTCAGTTTCATGAACAGCTGGAGTCCTCCTGTAAGAAATACAGTTGCTGCGCAGTTAGAGCATTTGTGAGGCTGAAACAGTAAAAGAGTTGAATGATCTTGGAAGCCTGTAGGAAGTCCAACCCTTTGCCCTTGCCTGGGATTTCACAAACCATGGTGGCTAAAAGGCAAGTCCTGTACTGTTGGGATTAAATAAGCTTTGGAAATATCTTGACACATAATTGCACATTTTAAGATTGACCCTAAAATTTTTCCCCTCTTAGCCAATACTGAGTCCCTTAGGAATACGATACAAAGGCATTACTGGTCCCCTGTCTGCTGAAGCAGTGTTTCCTGGCTGCAGCATGCTTGCCTTAGTAAAAGGTGCTGTGCGGCGCAACTGTCATTGGTAAACGTTCGTTTCTGAAGAGACTCGAGCACAAGCAGCCTTGTTGGGTGTGAGGGAAATGTATTTTGTTCCCTAAGGCCCAATAAGAGGTGTTGCTAAATTGACGTTTAAAAGATTAAAATGAAAACCAAGATTTTAAAGATGTATATCATTTACAGTTTATGGCAAAAGTTTAAGCCTGTGTTAATGAGAGAGGGGGGACATAAATTTCATAATGGCATGACTATTCCTCTTTCAGCGTGTGGTTTTCCTCAAGCAACTTGCCAGTGGTCTTCTGCTTGTGACTGGTAAGAGTTTTGAGCTTTACACATGTAGTTTTTCAGAACTGGAAATTTTCCATTCATGCTTCATATGTGAATAGTTTTGTTCATCAAAGGCATTACTGCAGAGTTCCAAGAGTGTTTATACAACCGTGGTCCTTGTGTAAAAGGTTCTGAGTTTCCTGGGATACCCAGAAGAGCCTCTTACCCCCAGGTTGTGAACCCCTGCATGAAGGCATTCTGTGCATTTAATGGTGTCTTGTGCTCATACTTTAGTTACAGCTCATCTAGTGTTCTTCTGCACTTTTCATCACCTAGCATACTACATGTATTTCTGTTGCTGGTTGTGTGTATATCAGCAATAGTAGTACATGTATTATTTAGCAAAAGCAGATTAAGAGTGAGGTTTTATTTCAACATTATAGCAAAACTACAGATACTTTGCAGTTGCAGTTTAATATGACTGTCCGTTTTATGCAGAATATTAACTGGAATAGTGATCTGTGTATCGCTTCATCTCTGGGATGAATTCCATCTCCAGATGTTTGACAGCTCTGCATGTTGATGGTGTTGAAGTAATTGCTGTAGTGAACAGGTGACCCTGTGAATGGTTATCTGGGTTTTGGAGACCAGCAGGTGAAACTGGTGCAAAAAGTAGTTCTGGGTTTGAGGGTTTTTCAGCTCTGTGGGTGTGAATGAATGGTCCTAAGAATTTGAATTAATGAATGCTGAAAACGTTTGTACGATGTGATAAACATTGAAGTTGTGGTCACTAAACCAAGGATTTTCATGCCTGGTCAGAGGAGTTAAGCCTGTACATATATAATGTTACTGATGTGTGAAGTTATTTATAACTTTGGAAAGGTATGACATCCAAAACGTTCAACCTTAACATGAAAGGATAGAGAGAGACGAGCATTGGTCCTGAAATGTTATGATTGCAATACTGTGGAAGGGCTCCATATTGTGAACTGGTATATCTTTTTTAAATGATTAACTGTGAGTAACACACTGTGCTTTAATTTTCACTTAGTTTGTCATGGCTTGTGGTTTTAGGAACTGGTGCCCCTGGCATTAGGTAGACTTATTCTAAAGTGTCATTTTCCTCCATCTTAACTCTGGAAGTCCAGTTCATTAAGGATGTTTAGCTTTTTGTTTTGGATTCCAAAATGTAACAGTATTCCAATTAGGACACATCTAGATGTGAATGGTTGAGGAAGAGAAAATGCATTAAAGGAAATGTTACTTTTTTTGTTTCTTTGGGATGTTTGTTCTTGCTTTCTTTAAGGCATCATTAGATGCTTGTCAGCTGTTTTTATCATTGTGTCTCTGAACCTGCCAGGTCCTTTGGTGCTGAACCGTGTGCCCCTGCGCAGAGCACACCAGAAGTTCGTCATTGCCACCGGCACAAAGATTGACATCTCTGGCGTTAAGATCCCGAAGACCCTGACTGACTCTTACTTCAAGAAGAAGAGGCTGAGACGACCCAGGCACCAGGAGGGAGAGATCTTTGATACTGAGAAAGAGGTAACTTGGAGTAAATCCTGATTGCTCTGCTGAAGTGAATTTGCAGTCTAATTTAAGATTGTACAGTGGTGCAGGTATTAGTTTAAAATATAGCTTAGGTCAAATTTAATGCATTAAAATACATTACAGAAAATAAATTGAATTAAACCATACTAACTTTTTTTTACCATCAGGCTTTTGTTAGTGAAGTACTAAACATCACTTACATTTGTGAGTTTATCTTGTCTCAGTGAAACTACACTGTTAACTGAATTTCAGATTACTTCACATATTTCTTGAAAAAGATTCAACTTTCAGAAGAGTTGATTTCCACAAAGGTTTTAAACCTTTGCTAGTGTGGGATACCTGGCTTTGCATGGAGCAGCAACCCATATGGCTGTTTGTGTTTTTGTGAACTTGTAGTGTTGTTGGGGTGCTGCTTCAGTCTCCCAGTGACAAGCTGTTGTGTGAAAGGGGGGGGATGACTTTGCTTGTTATAGAAGAAAGTGCACAAGCCTTGTTCCTCCCGTGAGCCTGTGCTGTGTTTTAGCTCTAATCGCCTCTGATATGCTTAATCCTGCACTTGCTGTGGAGTTCATTCAGCCCCCCCAGAAGTCCTTCAGCCTTAAGGCAACCCCAATGCTGGGTGTCAGAGGTTCACAGTGCCCTTCCTGATTACACCATACCTGTCTGAGGGCTCTGCTTTTGCCTGCTTACTGAAAACCTGGGACTTGTTTTTCTATTAAGCATTTGATCATCCTAATTTGTATGAAGAGGACTGTGATGTTCATCCATTAACATAGTTGTTATAGGTTTGACGATGTATATACTGATACTGATGTAGGTTTAATTATTTTAGGAGTTGAAGATGGATATTCCCCTTGCTTTAGAATTTTGACATTGACAAAAATGTTAATAGAGATGTATATTTAAAATTAATTACTATGAATTTTTCTCATAAATGGAATTCTTGTTTTACAGAAATACCAGATCACAGAGCAGCGAAAGCAGGATCAGAAAGCTGTGGACGCCCAGATTCTGCCCATCGTCAAGAAGACCCCACAGCTGCAGGGCTACCTGCGATCCTCATTCTTCCTCTCCAATGGAGTTTACCCTCACAAGCTGGTTTTTTAAACTTGTGTTAAACCGAATAAATGTGGATTAATTGGAGACTGTAAGGTTTTGTCTTGATGTTTCTTTTGCACTAAGAACATATTTCACATGCAGATAATTACACTTGTGTAATTTCTCTGGACACTCCACTTGAAGCGCTTTACAGGTAATGGGGACTCCCCTCCACCGCCCCAGCTGGAAGATGTGACAGCAGGCACAGTGCACCAGTACACTCAACACACATCAGATTAAAGTTGAAATGAATGAAAATGACTGAATGGCCTCCCTATTTAAAACTGACTCAAGATTTCAGGGTAACATTTTCCATCAGTACAAATCCTTTTCATTAGAGTGGCCTTAATTTGACAGTGGATTTATCACTTTAGCTGTATATATGGTGCACCCATAGGTTGTATCCAAGACCATTTGGACCCAGAATCTACAATGCTTGGCAGTTTCCTGGTTCAGTTTATGTTGAAGAATGGATTTCTGTACTTTTTTGGTCTGCACTGAAGTGTTCTCAACATTTTTGTAGTATAGTTTCGTGACATGCATATAGGGTTTTTGGAAGCTCCAGCCATCTTGTCAGCTCTTCATATTGAATATTCTAGGTATGTTTAGTGCACCTAATTAGGCAGCATAAGTACAAATGTGTTTTGAGAATCTAAGCTTGTAGTTCACATGTTGACTTTCACACACTGAACCAAGAAAAGGAGTTTCAAATCGCACGCTCAAGCCCAGGGCAAAGACCACAGTATTTACCACAAGACATGGGCAACCTAGTAATTTAAAGAAGAGGTCTCCATCCTTGGACAGCATTAACTCAGTGTTGTACATGTACATTCTGAATGCTAGGAGCACCTGTAAGTTATTGATCTAATGAAGTGTTCTGGTCCTTGAGAGTTGAACTGTACTCATTGTGGACCCAGATGGCAGAATTATGTCAAAGGTTACCTGCTTAATTGGTCACTGAAGCTATTCCCAAGTCTAAGAATGTTCCAGTGGTCTATGAAATGTGTTGTATCGTGACTATTCAGGATCAATGCAGGGACTTCTGGGGACTCCAGTGGGGTGACTTATTTCATAGTGTAAAAAACAAAACTTCTCGGGAATTTTAAAATTCAATTTCCAACTGTGATGGCATATCGGAAAAATTAAACAGTTTGAGCTTTATTGTCCCATTGGGGAGACTTGTTTTACGACACACTCCCAACATAATACAATGACCGATTAAATTTTACCAAGAAGTCAGTGCAACAGCGTTACCGCAAGATAAGGGAGAAGGTAGTAATGATACATTGTTGGACAAGGGATGTTGCAGTGGGGGTGAAAGATTTCCTGTGTCTGTTAGTGTTACACCTGGGGACACAGGCGTCTCCCAGATGGAAGAAGTGTGAACTCGCAGTGGGTGAGAGACACAATCCATCATACACTTTGCTTTGTTTGCCACCCTCTCTTTGTAGAGGATTTTTAAGGGGATTTAATTTGCCCCAATTAACACAATACAACCATGTGTGGGGAGCGTACTGGTGCACTATGGCTGCTGTCACATCATCCAGGTGGGGCTGCACACTGGTGGTGGTAGAGGGGAGTCCCCTTTACCTGTAAAGTGTTTTGAGTGGGGTGTCCAGAAAAGCGCTCTATAAGTGTAAGCAGTTATTATTATTAAAAGCAAACACACAAATAGAATCTCTTTAAATTTGTTGATAACACACAGTCCCGGTCAGTTTATTAAGGGACCCAGAAAACCATCATCAACCGATTCTAAATGACTTTACTAAACGGTGTAACGCGTTCTCTTTGCGATCACATGTTTTAAAAACAAGGGAGCTGGTCATGCATTTAAGGAAAAATGCTACACCCCTCCAACCTACTGTGATTCATGGTCAGACAGTAGAAACTGTCAATGACTACAAGTACTTTGGGCTGGTCATCGAGTCATAGACAGAAACCTGAGTTGGGATAAATGCCGTTACACCATTTCTAAAAAAGGACAACAGAGACATTTTTCTAAGGAAACTAAGATATTTCGAGGTAGATAGAACCATCCTAACACTTTTCTACTAAGGTCTTTTGCTGAAAGTGTCCTAACATTCTGTCTCACTTGCTGGTTTGGTAACATCGGTACCAGATTGAAATGGTAAGACTAGTCAAAATAAGTAGCAAATGAAGACTCTTGGTTACCCAGGGTGTGTTATTTGGATAAGCCTTAAAGCTTTTAGTAGGAATGATGGCGTATACACAGAAAGATATGTATTCCGATACCACCCCAGCGAGATCGTATATATCCCATCCTCTGATGTGTCTTTAACCACATCTCACTGCGTGCAGTCGAAACAGCCCTGCAGCTGTTCAACGCTGTTCGTGTCCCAGACTTTCGCTGTTCTTGTCTCTGGTTTGCTCCTCTCGAACAACAGCTGGTGGATCGGCCTGAGAAGCACCGTGTTATGATCAGATAACCCAGTGGAGGTCTTGTGGGGGAGCAGGAGGAAATTGGAATGATCCCGTAGCAGGGATCGATAATTCTGTTCAGCAGCGTGGGGCAGGTCGCATATTGATAATATGTGCAAAGTGTATTTTTCTGCGGACGCTGACATTAAAAATGATTCTAGACGACTTTTTCTTCGTTCGCTTTGGGGTGGATATAAAAAACTGGGATAGCAGGGATGCTCAGCAGTTCAATGTCGGGTGTGCCGCTTCAATGTCGGACGGTAATATTTTGACACCAGCGGTTATTAATCATCAGACAGACCGTTATGTTTACCTGTGCTTACAGCGTCTCTCTCTCTGTCCAGTCGGGTAGAGAAAACCCTTCAGGCCTGACCTCATCGTCCTTTCTGTGTCATGGAGCCTGCTTTCTCTCCGTAAAAGCAAGTACGCAGGCATCGCCAAATTCGTGCAAGAATCGCACGCTGGCATAAAGTTCATCCAGCCTGGTGCCTTTCAAGGAGCGAATATTAGACAAAATCATCGTGGGCAGGGGGAGTTTATTCCTCCTCTGCCGGAGTCTCTGTCTCAAACCGTCCCTCTCACCGCGTTTACACTTTAATTTGAGTTTTTTAAAATCCGTATTCTGTGTAGAACACAGATTATCTTGAGGTAGTTAAATTCAGCCAGGTAGTCCTCGAGTAGTTTTACGTAAAAGAGTAAATATAGTTGAAGAAAAGAGAAATAAAAGAAAAAATCACAAGACAACTACAAAACTAACGGGGATCTGCCGCACGTCGCATTGAGAAGCGCCCAACTACAATTTTCATGTTCCTGAAGGCAGGAGAACAGAATCTAATTGAATTGGGATCGCCAAGCTTATTCATCATTTTCCAGTTCTTGATAAATTTGGTGCCATTCGTGTCTAGCCTAGAGAAATCAAATCACTGTCCTGCAGACTGATGTTTCTGCAAGTTTACACTCCAATTTAGTTATTAATGAGCTTAAATAACTGTCTTAATTGGGCCAATTTTAGGCAATTAACTCATAATTTCAGCAGCAAACACACTTTAACATAGCTTTTCAGTTAGATGCAGAGTTAAGCATGTTAGTCATGTTTATAAGAACTGAAATATTGAGGCAGTGCTCTACAGTTTTTGTATGCAGGTAAAAATCGGAATCTCACAACCTGCAACCTAGTCTTAGGAAATAGAGATGAAGTATTTAAATTCAACCATGGAGTCAGTTAAGAGCTTTCTTTTATTTAATACTTAGTAAGTAAATAGCCATTTCAGTTTGTTTTCAGTGTTTTCTGTTCAAGACTAAAAAGTTCAGTTACTTCAGCCTTGTATGATATTCCCTATATCTTAACATACCTGGTTGCTCTTCTCCAGACTGATTCCAGGGTGGCAATATGTTTTCTGAAACAGTAAAAACAAAATCCATAACATTTTAAATGAGACATTTCTAGGCCATTCTAACATTACATCCCTTGATTTAAATTGTACACTTTTAACTAGATATCATAACATATTGTTAGGCTTCCCCACATTTCCTAGATTATGAAAATGATAAGTCAACATATCTGTCTTTTCCATATGAAACCTATTCAAGCTCAGTGTTACCCATTTTGTATGAATAGATTCTATGTTTACCATGCAAAACTCTGCACTCTGCATTAAATTTAATCTGCCATGAGTCTGCCGTTTTGTGAATTTCACTAGTTGCTTCTACATTGTTTGCCAATTTTGCTACTTTGGCATAATCTACAAAATTGACTGGTTTCTAAAAGTACCAAAATCTAGATCATTGATATAAACTAGGAAGAGTAGTGGTCCTAGTACAGGACACTGTGGTACTCCACTAATTTATATCACCCACAGTTGAGCATTCACCCCTTACCTGTATTGTCTCATTTCTATTTATTAACCAATTTCCAGTCCAATCAAGTCAAATCATTCCTTGACTGTCTACAGGTATGAACTACCTTTGCTAAATCCATGTTGACTTTTCCTTAGTGTCTTATTTTCATATACATGAACCTTTAATTTAGTTCCAATAGTTGTTTATCTAATGTTATGTGTAATAGAAGAGATACTTACTGGTCTAAAATTCCTTAACCCTTCTTATGCATTGCTACTGCATTAGCAATTTGAAGTCTATATGTATTACTCCTGTCTTGATAGACTGTTGGAAGAGTTGTGTCAACAGCTTCTGGATAATATATCTTGTTTCTTTGAGTATAATTGGTAGGAAATCACTGGGTCCTGAGGATTTGTTCATTTTGGATGCCTTTAGTAAATGAAACACCTCTGCCTGTTACATAATAAAAGTATTGAACTTTGTCTTTCTGCTGTCTGAGACATGCTGTGGATTTTCTTCCTAGTGAGCATCTGAGTGATACACTCCTTAAGTACATCAGGCATTACCTTTCATTGTCTAGCTGTGGCCCATTACTGTGCTGAATATTTTATACTTCACTCATAACAGTTCTTTTGCCTGTAGTACTGAGAACTTATTATTTTCAAGCCTGTCAGTACTTTTTTAAATGAAAAAAATCATTATTGCCTTATGTATTAACAGATTTGAATCCAATTAGTCAGTTTTAGCACCCCTCATGTCCTGAGCCTTAGTGTGTTCTGTTGCCTAGTACTCAATACTTAACGGCTGAAACCTAGTGACTGTCTATCTTCTTCATTAAAAAGAAAGTCATCTTTCTTAGCTGTTGTACAACATTTATGACAATAAATTGCATATTTTGTGTATGTTTTAGTTAATTAAAGATTAAAGATCTTCAATGTCATGAAAAACATCAGCTTCACCAACTTCACCAAAGCGTCCGGACTGCAGTGGAGACTGGACACACTGCTGCTGGATGCACTTGCATTGTTGGCAAAGTGTTGACAATCATGTCCTTCACCTCCAAGATAATAAAGTGTTTTTCTTTGTAGACTCTGGAAAATGTGTTATTATAGATACAAAATGTCATTTGTGTGTTAAAAAAACAAAGTGTGTCTTTAAATGATATCAGACAGGTAGTTATCCCTATTTGTTATTAGAAAGTACATATTAATTAGCATTTAATGCGGTCCGTTGGCTCTGTGGCTAAGGATCTGTGCCTGTGGCTGGAAGGTTGCTGGTTTGTGTCCCGCGGCCAGCAGAGGAATCCTACTCCGTTGGCCCCCTGAGCAAGGCCCTTCACCCCAACTGCTCCAGGGGCGCTGTACAATGGCTGACCCTGCGGTCTGACCCCAAGCTTCTCTCCCTGTCTGTGTGTCTTATGGAGAGCAAGTTTTGGTATGCGAAAAGACAAATTCCTAGTACAAGAAATTGTATATGGCCAATAAAGTGATCTTATCTTATTTCACAATGCTAACAGACAGGACTGCCTAACTAGACTTCTAATCCTGCATTGCTCGTATAAGGTCAGAGTCAGGAGCCACAGACACACATCAGTGCGACAGCTAACTCTATCCTGTGAAAAAGTTGCATATGCAATAATAAAAGTGCAAGAAATGCTGTTGGTTCCAATACCCATTTGTTGTTTTTTAATTCGTTTCAGTATGTGCATCTTAAAAAAAAACACCTTTTCAGGTGATGATCATTACACCAAAATGTGTTCCTTATAAGAAAATAACAGCTAAATAGATTCAAATGTCTATATCAAGATTTGAGTCAGCTTTCAGATCATGTGGAATCTTGAATCCGGCCCGGTGCCACGGTTTGGCTCCGTCCGGACCTGAGCACAGTGGAAGCAAACCCTCGCTCCTTCATTGGTCGCGCTTGTTGTCATGTTTATGAAGCCGCAGTGGATTGTGGGAGCGGTGGGCCTTTCCAATATGGCGGCTCACTGAGAGCTGTGGGGCTTCCATTATTTGACCAGTCACTTCAGACAGGAGCAACTGCACTTCCAGAGCCGGGCTGCTTCACGCATTGCGTTTCTGGGCTCTGTATAACCTGCGTTTTCAGATGCAAAGTAAAGGCGCTAATCACTTTTGAAAAATAACGAATTTGTGCACGGAGTCACGCCCACTCTGTCAGAAAAAAAAAGGCGAGAGGCATAGAGAGAGAGAGAGCTCAGTAACCTGCAGCGTCTAGGCTCCTGACCCGGGCGGCGTTCACTGACATACACTGGTGATTACCATTTCGTTAACAGCACAATGGCTACTGGGTAGTGCATCGTAGTGGCCGTCGATATTTTTGCACGAGTCGGCTCGTTGCTGAGAACTCGTCTTTTTTAATGTCCGACCTGTCTGGCGTTTTTGTCTGGGGAGAGAGATGGGCGCAGCGGCCGTGGATTCGTCCCAGTGGCTGTCAGTGAAGGAAGAGACGATTTTCCTTCACGATGGGCTGATTCGGGTCACCGACCTGGCCGAGCTGCCCAGCGAGATCGGGGTCTCGGAACCGGGGGACAGCGAGCAGGAGGTGAGTCCAGCGACCCCGACACCGATTAAGCGTTTTTGTGTCGCGGGGGGAGGGGGGTATAGATACCCCCAGTGGGTGAAATGCTATGGGCAGATGAAAGTGGAGATAAAGGACCTACATTAATTAAACTGATGACGGCACCTAATGTAACGTTGACAGATTCAGTGTTCTGTATACATGCTGAATTGTTATCATGGTGTCTTGGTGTGAACAGCTGTGTAGCGCCACAGTACCACCCTGTTCATCTGTACTGAACAGAAAAACAAGTTGAGGTAGAGCAGGACTCGTGTGTCCTCAAAGCAAAGCCTTGTTTCAGGTGGAATTTCCCTTGCAGTGCAGTCTGTTCCGACCGAAATGACCCCTTAAATAGCGATACACATCGAAGTAATGGAAGAATAGATATCCCAGCCCTTTACTGTGTTTTACTACGCAACCGTGCACTTTGAAATTGGAAGTTATTGACTGACAGTTTTAGCAGTGGCTGTTTACATACACATTCTGAAGGGCTATCCATTGTCATTTAAAAATATCTTCAATGATTAAAATATCTTGCTCTGAAATCACTCTGTGTCAAGAACTTGTATATATGTACGCGGCTTATGTTTGAACTTCGTTTTATTGTATCGTTCCGCTAGAAATAAAGAAAGTCGGGTTGGTTTTTCTGGAGATCAGGGTTAATGTCTTGAAGAGGCCGGTGTGTCAGGCGTTGAAGCTCCCCTTAGTTTGTTTACAGCGCTTTGCTTCTCAAAAACTCCAAAGACGCGACGTGCTTTGTAAGCTACTAACCCCTTAATTTTTTAACTTCCCAGGAAAGAGCAGACATGAGTTCCCCGACGTCTCCTGGGTGTTACTGTATGCATGTTGAGTCCTTTTGAATACTAACATAGCCGTGATATATAAGGGAAACCATCATGTTTGTGGCTGATTAGAAATTGCTCAGTCTTAGCCACGACATTACCAGCTGCTGTGTGCCAGTCTTCTACACATTTATTTCCATAGGAGTTCTGACCATTGCAAGTTTAAAATGATTGCCACACGTGAGAGCTTTGTTATTGGTACGACTAGAACTGTAAAGTGTTCCTCGGCACGTTTTTGTGAGACTGCTGGTGAGGCCTAGTCATGGTGGGAGATCAAGAGTGCAAATTTATAAATTGCTACTTTTGTAGATGGTAAAGATATTGGGTTATATGCCCATCCTCAAATTACATTAAAAATGTCTTAGGCCTACTATTTGTAAGAAATAAAGACCGAGACATTTCTGACATACAGTATCTCGAATACCTTAACCTAATTTTGAGAGGGTGCTGAAAGTGCTTTGCAATTTGGCATGCAATAATTTGTGAGAGTATTAACAAAATAGCTATATGTTCTATTTTATTTTTAGTGGTTTGGTGCATTTCCTCTAAATCTACATTGATTTAGTTACATTTGGAAACATGGTGGGAAAGTGAATGGACGTGTGCATTATAATAAATTAATATAAATTAAATTAATGAAAACTCTGAAAGAACAATAGCAGTGCTTGCAAAAGAAAATAGTCATTCTTTGGAAGTTTAAAACGTTTTTACATTTTACCCACGTTTCCACTATGTGGAAGATATTGAGCCACTCAGTGAGAAGTACAGTAGTGTTTTTTTAAGGTTGCTTACAGCATGGCTAGATCTATGCAGTGGCTCTGAAATGGGAAACATGCAGTTTCAAACCTGGAACTGTGGCAAAAACAGTATAACTGTTCTGCAGCTGTGCTTATGACAGCTCTGTAAGTTCTCCTCCAGTGAAATTTGAAAGTTAATTTTACTGCCTGTGTTGTACTTACTTCAGATTGGTTTGTCATTCCTAAGTACTAATTAAAAGGGAGTAATTGAGTTTTATGAGATGTTCCAACACTGTTAGATAGTTGAGTTCCCACCATATAGGCTTAACTTCCCAATTTGAATTATTTGTTTGACATACTGTTCTAATTTGAATGTACAGTGTTTACATCTCGTTTGAAATTCACTGATTGGCACCCTGTCATTTCTGACATTCATAACGTAAGTGAAATATTCTGCACAGATTTACTGTATCTTATGCACTATGTATTTGCACCAGGTCCCTTTTTGTTCAAAGGCATGGCATTGTATGAGGCTTTAAGACAGTGTAGCAGCTCTTTTAAATACAATAACAATAACTTAAGTTTTAAACAAAAGGTAGTTTCTGCATTGCAATTGCCCTGATTTAGAGTGAAATACAATTTTACATGGTGTTTGCAATCTAAAACCAGTACAGATCCTAGGGTTTGTAAACAGGCTTCTGCAATCACCTTTAGCCTGGCTGTCATTTATTCTCTTTTGTATTTGCACAACAGTTGGGATTCAGCAATGTTATCAAGAGTCACCTGTTTCCTATACATACAGTGAATGAGTCACTGTCTCTGATTTTAGAGACTGATGACTGATTTACTTTTTTTTACTGATGTTTGTGTGTGTGTGTATAAATATTGATTTTCAGTTTTTTTAGAACATGAATTTATAATTTGGGGACAAAATAAATTGCATATTTAATGTTCTTAATATGTTGCAAAAGCCAGTTTTGAACAGTGACGCACCAAATTATACAGAATCCTAAAAGTACATATATTTTGTATTACAATGTAGTAAACTGTATATAGGCTTTAAATATAAACACTTAATAGAAATGTTTATGTAATAAACATTGAGCTATTTAATGTTTAATGAGATTATAACATTATAGGTTATTATTGACAATGCTGAAAGTGAAGTATAGGCTAGTTTAACTGTTACTTTTTCTCGGAGAAGGTAATTTTCTGTTAAACTTAGTCTAGCACAGAATAGTTACAGAAGACATTTGTAATTAGCCAATTCATCACAGTAGTTCTTGAATAAACTATGAGAGAACTAACAGTATGAGAAGCACAGTTCCAGGTACTCTGACATTTCATGGCTGCACAATGATCCTTCCTCCAGAAACCTTGACCAGTGGCTGCAAGAGCACAGATGTGTGTTCACGTTTGGATTGGATGTGTTGCTTCCCATACTGCTATTGGCTAGTTCAGAAGACTAATCATATTTTTACTTTTATAATGACTGAATAAAATTACAGTAGGGGAAATTTTTTTTTCTTTTCATTTTTTCCACCTCTGTTGCTTCAAAACAAAAATCCTGATCTTTTCCCCAGATCCTTTCTGCTCAAACCCTTTATTTTCAAACTGGATGTGTTTGGAAATGATTGCAGAGCTACAGTACATGTTGCAAACAAACCCCACTGTGCTTACTTGGAGACAGATGGCAGAAAAGTTGGCACATTTCAATGTCTGCTTTTCTTTTTTTTTACCCTATTAAAATAACTGTTGAAACTTCAGCAGAGTTATCTTTCTTTGCTTGTAATACACTTTTTTTGGAAGTGTGCATTTTTTATTTTTCTGAACCACCTTGGTGTTATTTTCAATGTGAGCAGCCAGATGAGCCGTTCTCTTTGTGAGTAATGGCTCTGTTGTCATCCCCCGTGTCTTGTGAGTATGCCAGCCCTGACATAGTGCATTGAATATTCAAAGTGAGCTCTCTATGCTTTCTGTATGGGTTTTTCACAAATTGTCCTTTTGGATGCGCTCATTATCCATTGTTGTTTTTTGGAAGAAGACGACCAGGTTAAAAAAAAAAATCCAAAACTTTTCATTGAAGTAATGTACTTACAACCTTGGGTTACATTATTACAGAGAAAGGCAATTCCTACAGCACAGTGTCCCCAGTCACTGTACAGGGCAATGGCTTGTAAATATGGTGCACAGGCATCTACAGGTTCACAGACATGACCTGCAGCAGCACCCAGGCTTTCTTTGGATATGTCTTATCCATGTACTGATGCCCGGCCCTGCTTAGCTCCTGAGGTTTAATGAGCTCAGGGTAGAAGGCAATAATGTTGTCATACTTAACATTTGGTGGTAGCATCATATTCACACCAGAAAGCTCATGTCATAGTGCCTTTGAAGATATGCACCCCCCTGAACAATTGCAATTATTGTTGTTTCTACCAGAATTTCTTAATGAAATTATTCATCCCCTTGATTCACACAGCATACACAACAATTTATATCGTTTTTTGTGTAACAAAAACTTATGATAGATGGAAATGTTATAGCTGAATATTCACTCTTACAGAGTCAATACATAGCAGACCCACCTTTTGCAACAGTTACGGGTTTGAGTCTTCTTGGGTGTGTCTCTTATCAGCTTTGCACAGCTGGATTTGGAGATTTTTCACCATTTTTCCTTGCAGATTTGCTCAAGTTTTGTCAGTATAGATGAGGAGCATCGGTGACCCCTAGTATTCAAGTCCTTCCACAGATTCTTGATAGAATTCAAGTTTGGGCTTGAATTTTGGCCTGGCCACTCAGGATTTACCTTCTTGTTCTGAAGCCACTTCAGTGTCACTTTGACTATCTGCTTGTGGTTGTTGTTCCATTTGGACATGAATCTTCGCCAAGTTTGTTTCTAGGTCAAGCTGGTTCTTCAGAAGCATTTGCTTATTTGGTTCCATTTATTGTTCCTGACAGCTCAGTACCTGCTGCTGAAAAGTATCCCCATAAGATGATACTACCACAACCGTGCTATCGGGATGGTATTACATGGGTGATGAGCTGTGTTGCGGTGTGTGCCAGGCACATTGCTGTGTATTCAGGCCAAAGGGTTCAATTTTTGTTTCATCAGGCGGAAATCTTTTGCAACATGGTCTGGGGATCTACCTGATAAAGCTTATGCTATTCACTTTTGTCTAGCTGCTCTCATGTGATCTTGCATAGAGGCTGAATCTGTGTAGAGCTAGAGAGCTGTCTGCATGCTCATTGAGTTCCTGGTCACTTCTCTGAGCACAATCCTTCTTGCCTGGTTGCTCAGTTTGGGAGGACGGCCTGCACTAAGGAGAGCCTGGTGGTTCTGTATTCTTTCTGTTTCCTAAAGATGACCTGACTGTACTCCAGGGAACATTGAATACCCTTGATATGT